CATTTCTTGCTGACACAAAAGGCGAGTGTGCTGTAGGCAGGGTGTGTTAAATCACACACTGACAGGAGCTGGGCTGTTAAACTCAGCAGCTGAAACTCCCGAGTAATTCCTAGCCTGTATCCCTTAATGAGGTTGGAGACCACTGCAGTTTAACATAATACAATAATAAAACATTTTAATCAGTATTAAAACTTTAATTAGGCCTGTAATGATGCATGGCTTTTCTTGCTGCAAGCCCGGGTCAGTGAATCCCTCAATGAGCGCCTTCAGGAATTGAAAACAAGCACAGGAAGGATAAAGTTATGTCTGGGCTGTGCTGCCTTGTTCCAAAATGCAATTGGATCTTTCTGGAACAGTGCAATAACTTTTCTCTGATGGAGGTGAGGGACTCCCAGGCCCAGTGGTACCCTGTGCTTTTCAGAACTTCCTTATAGGTAACAACTGAGATTAAGAAGTCCTGACTGTAACAATAATTATTTTTAAACAGACTTGGTTCAAAACTGCCATCTCTAATGTTGCCAAAGGAGAAATTTAACCTTTTCATAGAAACTACCAAGTGCACACTGGTTTGGTTTTTAAACAGAAAGACCGATTATCAGAAAGGTTTAACACCAAGGGATATTCCAGGGACTGTAGTGCAGCATTCAGACACCAACCTCCCTAAAACACTCAATCCAAGAATGCCAAGGAATAAAAGCACTTACCAGAGCTCAGAGGAGCAGGAGGACACCAACCCAGCCCTGGGGGAAAGGGCACAACTCTTCCCTGCCCTTTTTTAAGGCTGGCTGATGGGGCAGCAGCTGATGCAGCTGGGATGCAGTGAGAGGGGCTGCACCTCCCACTGCCACAGGTGGGTGGTGTTTTAATTGATAATTATTTTATCTACTTCCCATGTCTTGCTGTGATTTGTATTCACTGCATTAAGAATGTGCAGGTTTTGTTAAAATAACTCCTATGTATGCCTGAATGACACCACCCTGATGCACCTTATTTCCAAGTGGTTGCCCTACATCCCTGTCCCAGTCAATTAGGGATGATCCACCCCCAGGAACAACCCTCCTGGCAGTGCATGTGCCAAGTCTTACCAGCAGTGGGAATGTCAGGGACATGACATGTGTGTTCTTGGTGTCCTCGAGGACTTTCAAGCTGCACATTATCAGTGGGACTGATACTTTTTTTAGATGGCAGAGACAAAATGTTATCAAGGGGCCAGAATGTTTTTAGGGGAGAAAAGCCTTTGAGATCCGTAAGTGTATTTTCATTTTTTGTTTCAGTGTTCTGCTGGTGAGATCTAACATTTTATAATACGTTGTTGTAAAGAGATGTAATGACTATTGTATACTAAATAAATTGTGTAATTTGAAAATCACTTTTTGCTTGTCTTTATGTTGGGCTTCCTTTCTCTGGTACAAGTTAAAGGTGCCAGCCTTGATTTTCACCAGTCATCACCCAACACACATTAACTCCAGCAAGGTCAGGAGGCTGAGGCAGCTTCTCCATTTAAATAAGTACAACTTGCTTTGACCATTAGGGATCTGCTTGTTTCCATGATGTAGGTCAAGTTTAGTGTTCTTAATGAACAGAAACATGAAGTTTTTGGGAGTGAAAAAGCACATTATCAAGGGCTTTATGTGAAATGGGATGTCCTGATGTAGGAGTCTTGTGGCAGGAGCAATGGGATGTGCAGAGCTGGAGGTGCCATTGCTTGGTATGGCTTTGTCTCACCTGTGGTGCCTGAGGACAGTCACAGCCTCCCACATGCAGGACTCCTCTAAAGGGGGCTTGGGGGAGTTTGTCACCAGTGTTAATTAGGTACAGACTGGACTACTGTGAGATTAATTTAATTTATGGGTTGTGATCCGCACGTCCCATTGTGTGTGCTTGCACAGAAGGGATTTTGGCTCCAGAGGAAGATTTAACCTCCTCGTTTAAATCCCCAGGCATGGGTTTTATCATTCCTGTAATTAAGAAAATGCTCAACTTCTTCTGCTCACCTAATCCTGCTCCTTTGCAGCCATGTTTTCCCTTCTAAACCTGCTGGTCAGTAGGTCAGACCTAAGGACAATCAGCTTTCACATGGCTTGGCTCCATGTTATACTTGGAACATTATTTTAACACAGGAATACTACAAAGATTAATGTATTTGACAGGCAGACAGATTAAATACTAATATCCACATGATTATTTAAATTTCAGACCTTAACAAATATTTTATACTAAATAAAATGTTCTTACAACATGTTTAAAGTCTGTAAAGAACATGGAAGAAGATTAATAAAAGTACCAGATTACTGAAAATCCCAGTACCTAGGGACCCAGTGATTTTTTTTTTATTCCATGTTTTTTCATCCCCCCTGACCCACTGCACAGCTTTCCATGGGCAGCCAGCTGTTCTCTCCAGGAGCCACGACAGTGCTGTGCTGGGATAAGCCTTTTTGTAGAGGCACTGACATATTTGTGTGTGTCTGTGTAAATGCAGAACAAGTGAGGATATGATTTCAGCAATTGCACTGTAATTAAAAGAGCAGCATGCAAATTAAAACAGATAAATTAAGTGAATTAATTAGTAATCTCTGGAAAGAGGAAGAGTAGGCTTTAATAGGGCATGACAGCTGCAAATGAGTGTGTCCTATTACTGAGATCCTATCGACATAAGTTTCTAGAGCAGCTTTGAAATGTTTCCTGCCCTTTTGTTTTATATTCTGGCTGGCTGTGATTACAGAGGCAGCTCCGAGGCTGGGGATGTTATTATTAATGTTTGGTTACAAATTAGGGCCACAGCTGTAATGGGCGAGGAAGCAGCAACATTTGGGAACAGCACTGAGACATCTCAACCTCAGCAGCTCTGCAGCTGCTCTGCGTGACCCATCTGCCCGTGGGTTTCCCAGGCACCCTGAGACACAGTTGTGCTGGGGCTTGTTTTCAGTCTCACCCAGGGACCAGTCCAGTATTTCAGGGCTGGAGTAACAGTTCTGACAGCTGGGACAAAGATCTCCACACCACAGCCTCTGGGAGCAGGGTGGGCTGTGGCCCCCTGGAGAAAACTCCAACGTGGTGACATCCTTTGAGTGTGTGACCAGAGCCTGAGTCCAGACATCAGTTAGAGGCTTTTCAGGCAGCACAGCACCCATGACTCACATCTGTGCAACTATCTGATCAAAACTGAGAAATAATTCAAGAGTCCACACTTCAGTCGACCTTAAACACAAGCGAGGCAGAGACACCCTGCACAGAAGGCTGGTTTATTATTTATATGGTGCCTCAGACAGGCAGGATACTTCACAAGCAAGTGAAGTCAGTCTTGGCCCCAAGGAGCTTACAGGCTAAATTAAATTAAAACCAGCCAGAGCAACAGCATGTCCATAGGCATGGGAAGAACACAAGGTATGCAGACAAAATTACTGCTGTTGGGGGAAAGAATAGATTTTTGTGCATAATATAGATTTACTTAATTTCCCATATCCTGTCTGTGACTGCTGAGATCATGAAATACAGGAGCTGGCACACCAGATTTATGAACACTGCAAGATGTTTCAGCCAAGGTCTCCTCACAGGCAAACGTGTCAGTAAAATTACAAAATCGAAGGCTCTGCACCTTCTGTACCTGTGCCCAGTGGTTCCAGTTCAAAACTGGGATTTAGCTCTTCCAGACGAAAATGCCCACGCTCTGCAGTGTGTAACCAGTGGTTAATGGTGTGCTCAGGATTTCCCAGTGTGTCACAAATGCACAAAAGATAACAAGGTACTGTGTGAACGTGTCTCACTTGGGAAATGTGAAAGTTAAGGCAGCCTGCAGACAGCATTCACCTGTTTATGGTTTTCAATACAGTGTAAAAATAAAAGCAAAGTCTCCCCAAACAAACTACTGATGCAACTGTGAGCAAAGCAGCTTTAATATCTTTTGCAATACATTGTTTCATGCTTTGTTTCAATGAAACAAATTATTAGAATCCAGGATATATCCATATTATCATCTGATAATATATAATGTACATATTATATATAGTTTACATATTATAATAGAATTCACATATAATACATAAACAGCACAGCTTAAGATTTTGATCCTGCTGCACTGTACTCCATTTAGCTGTACAAGTGGTCTCAAAAAAAAATCAAAATTAATTGTGGTACCTTCTCTCTGCCCAGTATTGTCAAGTTTAAGAAAAATTCAGCATAGTAGCTGGACATTAAATGGTCTGAAAAAGGGACTGGTAATTCAGAGCATAATATCCCATCCCCTGCTACTGCTGTTACTTTTTACCTGTCTTCCTCTGGTTCCAGACTTTTGTTTATCACAGGACTTTATTTTTCAGAAGTCCCAGTGCTGTGTGAAGTTCTTTTTGGAGACAGGACAGACCTTCATTCTTCTTAAATCCTAAAGACAGGACAGTTCCAAGGGATGCAGAGTTTTCTCTTCACTGGAAATGCATCTATGTCCCCAGTCAGCTCCTCCTGGCACGGCATTACTTGGCTACAACTGTAGCTGGTCAGTGTTTCTATAGAACAGGCAGTGTCAGCCTCTCAAAGCTAATCCTTGCAATGCTGCTGTCAAAGGAGGTTTAGAAAAACGTGAGGGACATGATTGCAGATGCATAATGCACAGTTCAGGCTGCTCTTTAGTTTAGGATCAGTTCAGTAGCCTATTAGTAATGAGATCATGATGAACTGCAGAGGGTTTGCTACTGAAATTCCCACCTGGCCTTTTCCTTAGGAAAAGTATTTAGTTGGAGGCAGCTGGCTGGGTGTGTTGTGCCTAATTGCAGCTTCTGTATTTGTACGACAGGATAAAGAAATTTCACAGCGTTATAACTGAAGTTCAAACCACCATCCACCTGTCCATTCCTTTACCTGGATCCGTGGACTCACCTGCAGCACGTTCAGTGAGCGGGAACTGTCACTGGGCTCACTCTGGGAAACAAGAGGGATACAATACAACAGGGACCTGATCTGCACAACAGAAAGACAAGGTTGTTTCTTCTTCAAGTAACTGCCAGCACACCCAGCACACTTCCCTCGGGCTCTGAGCACACCTCAGGCATTGTATGCTGGGATCTCTGAGTCCTGTGGTACTTCAGTGACAGAAAATAATTCTGTACTTCTTAACCACTGTATGTGAATGATTAAGTACCCCAACTCCTCCTTTATTCTTCCCAGTAAGTTTAAATCAAAAAAACTTAAATGTTCAGAGTGTCCCAAGATTAGCTCCTTCACGCTTTTGAATTGGCTGCCAAGTGAGGCTCCTGAGAGAATCTGAATCCCTGTCGTAACAAGTCAAAAGGAGGGTAGGGGTAGTACAAAGCAGCAGCATGGAAAACATCACCCTTGCTTCCAAAACTGAAAATAGGAGACTTGTGACCTACTGGTCTCCTGCATCTCTCTGTGAGTACAGTTCACTCAGCTTCTCAAACTTTGGTCCCCACTCTTTGATGTCATCATAGACTGTTCCTTCCTCCAGCCCCGCGGAGCTCAGGGAGCTCAGGCTGCCGGCTCCCGATCCGGCTCCCTCCGTGCAGAACACCCGGAGCGAGTCCTGGGGCAGGGCCTGGCTGTGCCAGTCGGCTTCTCTGAGCACTCCTGACAGGTACTGACCAAAGTCTGCGCTGGGAAAAGCGGCTCCTGCAGTGGCTGCTGCTCGGGGCTGGCCCTGCGTGCTGGGGGATGCAGCGCCAAAGACACCTTTCCACTGGATTAGGGTTTCTTTCCTCCTGCAGAGGGAAAAGGCTGGGCTGGCCTGGAGAGACACCTGCAGCTCTGCCATGTTGTAGGCGTCCTGCAGTGAGAAAACCAGTCACAGCAAATTATCATCATCTATAGGTCCCAAAAGTTCATGTTCTAGTGGAAATAAAGCAGGAATGATCCCGAGCCAGCCCATTCAGTGTGAGTACCTGGAGGACTGGGTGTTCAACTGACTCTGCCACCTGCAATGCACCTAAGGCAGCCAAAACCCAGGAACACCTGTGCAGTCTGCACTGCAAGGGTTGGGCAAAATCAAGTCTGATTTCATATCAGAAGCTAAATAAACATGACAGAAACGTCCCAATTTTTGTTCTGAAATTCAGATCTCAGTATCTTACCATCACTGAACATTGATACCGAGTCTGGCCGAAGAGGTGAGACAGAATATTCACCAACAGCACGTTAAAGAAATACTTCTGCAGTAGTAGTTCAAATAATACTGCTGTGATTTCTCATAGAATTCTATCAGTCTGTGGAATAATGGCTGGTTATGTTATATGGAAGAGGCACGACTGTAAAAGTCAAGTAAAACTACCTAGTCCTAAAACAGTAAATAATTCCCTTCTGGTGCAGCCGCAGTAAATCTGTCTGGGAATTACAATGCAACTTCTGGCACTAAAGCTGCCAATGCCAACAGTTACTTGTGTCCACTGATCAGAATCTTTGTGTCACCTGGAAGAAATAAATGAATCCTGTCCCACAGCATCCTTCACCTTCCTACAACTCGAAGTTGTGGACCTGGACGGACATACAGGCCAAAGAAAAATGGCAGGCTGTGTGGGACAGAGCCCATTACAGCAAACATGTCATTATTTGTGTTGCTAACACTGTTCATGAACAATCAGTGACAGAGTTATGGAATCAGACTTCCCAAAGATTCCTTTTGTTCTCCCATATGTAGAATCGTGCATAACCATTTTGTGAGAGATTATCCTAAGTAATCTCAGTGGGCTTCACAGAATTTCAGCCGGACACAGAATGGTCTCAAAAAACCCACCTGCAATCAAGAAGTCGTGTAAGTGGCAAGATGGGGATTTGGGACAGGAGCTGCTTATTTCCACTCATCCAGAAACTAAATACTGCTGGTGATGAACAGTGAGCCCTACAGTACAGATCCCTGTCTTGGGCACGTTCTAAATAAGCTCAGCTTCCAGGGGAATCCACAACAGGGCAACTCGTCATCGTACGCAATTTAAATGGGAATTTGTTCCAGTACAGACCTGAGGATCATCCCTTCAGTGAACTAGATGATATTAAAATCATCCTTCACTGCTATTAGTTGTTCATTAAAATGACACATTTCTTCTGAGAGTAAACCCTTCTTAGCTGGCCATCTACAAACCCAACTCAACCCTTGCCTGTGGGTCCAGAGCTGGCTTTTAACAACGTGTTGAGTTCAGTGTGTTCTCAACAGTGCACTGACCTCCTGCAATTTTTATGAGGGAATTTCTCTGAGGGACAGTTTTATTTATTTCAGATGCAGAAACTCCTTTTTGTAAGACAGCCTTTTGTCCCCACAGCCCTACCCTCTGCTAACTTTACAAAAACAAAACTCTCTTTTCCAAATGCCCTCGTGATCCTTTTGTTAAGGTAACATTAGAAAACAATTAAGGTGGTGCAATTCTGGGTATTTTGGGGGTTGGCTTTTTTTTATCCAGACAATCAATTAGGTTTTAGCTTTAAATGTTTTAGCTTGCTATCCCAGCAACTGTTAATGTGAAGAATTTAGAAAGAGTATACAGAACCCAGAGAGGCTTCACTCCAAACACTATTTCTTCAGGCAGAATAATAACCTCAGATGAAGATCACCAAGTCACGAATTTGATTCTTCTCCTTCAAACAAGGAGTGTATTTTAAGAACTCTCCAAAAGTAATTAAACATGTCATACAGTAACTGTGGATTTCCTCAAAGAGACCTTCTGGGTGTAAAATTGCAAAATCTTGCAGAGGAAGTTAATCTGATTAAGGAAAACAGGATTTATAGCTGCCTATGTTATCACATGGAAAATGTCTCTGTGTTTATTACTTTCTCACTAATTCACCAAGAAAATAAGGATATTCCACAAGTAAGAGTATTTTCCCAGGTGGCCTTGCAAACACTCTATATTTTATAACTCAAAATTCTTTTAAATATTTGGAATTTTGGGACAGGTCAAATTTAATAAAAAATCACTGGCTTTTTTTGACCCATCACATTGGTGCCGTGACTCTGTGCAGTCACACCACTCCTCGAATCCACAAAAGGAACAGTTTCAAAGGTGACAATTTTCTTACCTTTTTTAAACAGAGCAAACATCTGTGGGTGAGTAAATAATCTATTTAGACTACTCATCTGTAATATCTGCAATTTTCTTTCAAAGCTCTGTCTTCACCTGACATGTTGAAAACCTAAAAGCAGCTAGCAGAAATGTTAATCATATCTGTTTGGGTATAATTTGCTCTACTCTAAGTATAAACACAGCTTGTGTTCACTGGTGCATTTCTGTCCAGAACAGAAAAATGCAGAAACGTTCTTCCACAACCACCACCCGCTTCAGGGCTTATGGGGAGCGAATGCAGCACCTCCCCTTCCTAAAGTCAGGTGTGAATACCTGCTGTCAGGAGCAGCCTCCAGAAAGAGTCTGTCTATGAGGAACAGCTCACACCAGGCTCTTTGAGGCCCTCAGAGCTACCCCAGTAATGACCCCTGAGCACCTCAGGGTGTCCTGAGCTGTGAAACCAAACCCACCAGCTGACAGTTCCCTGCTGCTAAACTCGCTCTCCAGGCTCCTTGCAATATGCACACAGGATCACTTGCTTTCAGACAAATTAAAAATGAATAGGCACTTATCTCTGCTTAGGAAACACACACCCTCATGTACAGAACCCTACAAATAATTCATCTGCCAATTGCAGGAGTGAATCAGCAGAACAAAGGCTGAGGACACACCATAAAATGTATTTTCCTCAGCATGGTGAGCCACCAGTCCCTTCTTAATTGTAACCTGACAGTGATCCTTACTTCGTCTTGCTCCCCACCCCCTTCTTCGTTGTAGTTGAGGATGTTTTCTCTGATGTCCTCCAGCTCCTCGGGATGTGCAGATCCGTGGTAGACACCTCCGTGCAGACCCTTGCGTGTCTTCCAGTGAGCCCACAGGAATCCAGCACTGAGCAGAGCTGTGGGAACACAGGAGCAGAGCAGAGCATGACACAGACCCCAGCAAACCCCCAGCGCACAGCAGGGCCAGCACCGCTGCAGGGGGGCTTTCTCAGCACACGGCTGGTGTTTGCACTCCTCAGTGAGTTACAGGTGAACATCAAACACAGAGGAAAAGCCTCTAAAGAGCATTTTGCAACACCCTTTGAAGTACAACTCGAAGTTGTTAAAGACCTGAACGACCCAAGCCGTGTCTCTGAACTCTATATCCCGTGTGGAGTTAAACTGTGTCAGAGAAAATGCATTACAGAGGGCGAGAACTGAAGGAACAACATGGTGACAGTAACAGACACAATTACACAGAAATGAAACACAAGAAGACACAAGACAAAAGAGGAAATCACTTTTAGATGTTTTACTAGAAAAAAAAAATAAAAGATCAGGCACATTTTGCCTTAGCATCCATGAATTTAAACATTATTTTTAAATGCTGAGGTGCATTTTACACACTGATAAGCTTCAACATCAGATACTGAACATAATATAAATTGAAAATTGTGTATCACAGTGTTACCAACTCTATAAAAACTGATAAATGCTCATAGTAAGACCTCAAAGCATTGAATACCATAAAATAACAATGCAGTGAATTAAAGAAACTAGAATCTCTTACAGAATATCCACATGGCAGAAGGTCTGTGGAGCAGCATCTAAATGACCTTGGGACTGAAACTGGGGTACACAAAGGTCCATGCCCTCTAACAATGATCTGTTATCAATCTCAGCTATCTGGGATTCCAAAAGCTGTGATACCACTTAGCTTACCACAAATTTGCTGCTCGTATTTGCACGGCAAACATAGTATCTAGCAGAGTTGGGGGAACACGATGGCATTTCAGGTAGCTACACAGATGGATTCCAAAGAGTCCACAATACATTTCCATACTCTTACTACAACTTCTGAATGAAAGTGCATTAACTCTGTAAAAGCCATCAGAACAATCCTGTGTCCTTACACAGGCAAGCTTCCATGATATTTGAATAAACAAGAAAGGCTCAAAGGCGTAATCCCTCCTCACTATTAATATCCTTCTGTTTTTCCTCTTTTTGAGATTCAATGTCTAAGCCTGAAAATGGCTGAGGAAGACAAAAGCAGCTGTTTAGCAGCTGGGACACAACTGAAAAGATGCAAAGTCTGCTCTTGCCTGACGGAGTGTATTCCTATTGCACTGAATGTCTCTCCTACATTGAAAAATCTCTTTCATGCTCAGCAGTATTTTAAACAATGCTTATCTGGTAACAATTTCTATTCTTGCTGTTCAATTGCATTTCCTTCCAATTATGCATCTGAACAGTTGCTCAGCAGTGAAGTGCAAATGTGCAGAAAACAAAACTGCAGAGACTTCCCACAGCTCACAAACGTCGATTCACTTAGCGATGGGTACACATGGGCATGGAACAATCAGTTAGTGCCAGGGCCAGGACCATGGCAAAGAAATGAAGGCAGAGTCAAGTCTCCATGAGGAAATGGGAGTTTTCCAGCAGGAGGATGAGATGAAAAGTGCTCAGGGCAAGACGGACACCAAAGGTGAGCTCACCAAAGGTAATACAAGACGTAGTTGCCGTAACTACCTAAGAGCGCCAGGAAGCAGATGCAGATGGCGAACAGGGAGCTGAAGCTGAGGCCCGTGTCCTTGTGGAAGATGGCCAGGGTGACCTCGCAGTGGCGCCCGGTGTACCCGTCGGGGCAGTGGCACTGGAACTCTGCCGGCGAGCGCGCGGTGCAGGTGCCCAAGTGGCAGGGCCGCTCCGCGCACGCCGTGCGCACGCACTGCCGGCCCGACGCGTTCTCCACCACCATGTGCCCCCGGGGGCAGCTGGGGAGAACAAGGGGAAATCACACCATTAAACTCGGAGGAAAGCAGCGCTGAAGATTTCAGAACAGTTGTTGACACTTTTAAGTACCGTTTCTGAAGTAGGTACTGGGAGTAAGTTCTGTGAAATGATTACGGGATTATGGTGCTTCCTGGAGCAGTCATGCAATAATGAGCTCAACTTCCAACCCTTTTGTCTGGGGCTTTCAGAACTTAGGTAATTCCATTGGTTTCTACAAGATTATCCTTGTGAGAAACAGCTGGATCAGGGTCTGCAGCTCTGGCCAGGCAGGACAAGCTATGCCACGTTCTTTGTGTTCCCAAAGCAAGAAAACTCCCTTTGTGTGGACAGTGGTAGTCAGGAATGCATGTAAGTAAGCACTGAAGTGTGTATGTAAGAAAAAGGTACATCTGCACAGCACAACTAACTTGAATTAGGGTCCTGACCCCAGCCCCAGCCACACACAAGAATCTGAGCTTAATGGTGCAACATTTCTAACGCAGCCCAAGTGGCCTGGAAGGGAACAGAGGTGACAGCCTGAGACAGTGTAAGATGTCAGACACTAACAAAAGAGGCAGGAAGCCAAAGCTGTTAGAGAATCCCTGGAGCCAGGCTGATTCACATCAGCTGAGGTGGTGCCTGTTAAGGACAGAGTAACCTGCTGTCCATGCATGCCACCGACCTGATGAGATAGCCAGTGGCAGCCTCCGAGCTGCACTTCAGCACCCACCCACTCCCACATCAGTCTGGAGGGTTTTGTGCTTCTATTTCCACCAATTACCTGCATTCATGCATCATCCACAAATCAATACAAATAAATTCCCGGTTACAAGGGTTATTCCTACAGGCCTCCGAAGAACAGCCTTCTCTGACACCTTGGACACTCAATACTGACACCAGCTCCTTGCCCTGAGTGTCCAGAGGGATTCTGTAGTTGTTAAATCTGACATCCTTCATACATCCTGGAGCAAAGCAAAAAGAGATGGTTTTAGAAGACATTCAGCAAGAAGGATGTGAAGTAGCTGTAAGATTTGGCAGCTTATGTTTAACAAAGGACCCAGGCTACCAAAGTTTAAATCTGGGACTGAATTTACCTTAACTTTCAGAGCATTTTTCTTAATTTTTTGATCGAATTTTCTGAAGCTTTGATTCAATTTACAGGCTGAAAACTGATTTGTTTTTAATGCACACCGTGACTTTCTCCACTTAGTTGCTAAAAATTCAGATTGTTATCTTTAATTCAATAAACCATTTCTAATTTTACTTAATGCTTTGACTGCATGTAAAATCCAGTAATGCAAAGGTAATAAACCACCTTTTGGGGTGTGCAGCCAAGTGAAGAGGTGACCGTCTCTGTTGCAAGCCCATAGCTGACTAAATGTGCATGCTGTACATCCCTGCTGTACCTTTTCTTAGTCAGAACAGCTTACTTGTCCCTTTTGCAAAGTGTCATGCATGAAATCTGTGTACTTTGGGCCCTACATAAACAAGAAAGCTTCCTACAAAATGCCCATGCTTCATTTTTGAAGGTCCATATTCTGAACAGTCAGATCAAGAATTCCTACCTTGAAAACTCCTGTTTTGATTGAATGGATAGGTGTTTCCAAGGACCAAGCTGCTGGGGTCAATCACAATCTCTTTGTATACCCCTTCTGCTTTCATAATCTCTCTCTTCCCACCTCCTTCATAAAGGCGAAGAGTAAATTCATTTTCATTTCTCTCCAGTGTGATATGATGCCATTCACCATTATCGATGTGGTAGGAGGGAAGGCTTACAGAATAGTCTCCATCACCCAGGTTGTATGAGACCACTAAGAGTCCCTGGACAAGCTTGTGGATAATTAACAAATAGCAAGAAAGAAAAGTCATTCCTTGGCACTTGGTATTGACTTGTAACTTCAATCTGAAAGCATTTGTTTGAATTTAGAGTATGTTTACACTGCACATACAGGTGTAATACAAAAATATTTTTGGTGCTACTGAACTAGACAACCTAAATACAGGTAGCAGTGAACTGACAGTTGTATCTAAGTCACTCAGAATAATTTTACCCTGCATCTGTCTTGCACAAATTTATGGGGTTCTTCAAATGGCTGTATAACAGCTACACTGACAGCTCAAACAAACTTAGCTGAAGAGGTGACTCATTCAGTGGTGTGTCTAAAATGAAAAGGTTGTCATTTTGAGAGCCTGCCAGCATTAGAACTGCTACAGGCACTTGGCTTGGCAGAGTCTGAACCACACAGAATCGGCCACATGGTTCAGTGGGACACCAGGGGACAATGCCCTAGTCATCCTGGTGTGTATAGAAACTGTATTTCACTGCATCTGACAATAAATTCCTTTGGTATCCAATGGGATACCACAGTTGTGTGGTCAGTATCTCAAGCAAAGGATCAGATCTGTGTGTACCCATGAAACGAATTCCCAAGTGTTTGTGCTTAGCGTAAGGTTTTTTGTTCCATTTCCAACCCCTAAGCTAATGTTTGTCTGAGCTAACTGTGACTGGCACTGATGTAACTCCCTGCTATCGCTGTCTCAGATGCCTGGCTCACCTGCAGGGTGATGTGCTCGTCCTTCCTCCGAGACAACATGCTGGTGATGACACTGTCGGGCTGCCGAGTCCGGACCATGGCCTGGAACAGCGTCCTGCGGGTAGAGACGCTCACCGGGAGCTGGTACCGAACATGAGCCCCTGGCTCAAAGGTGTATTCCTGGGCAGCTAAAAGGGATAAAAACCTTGAGCCCTTTTCATGAGGAGAGGAAAATATTACTGTTTTCCTTATTGTCATAATAAGTGTTGAAAGTAAAAGGGAACAATTGCAGTGCCTGGATCCATGAGATAGTTTGTCTTTCAGGACATTTCTTTCCACAGCTTCCCCAGTCACCCTCCCACTTCATCTCCCTCTGTAAAGAGGTGTTCTCCTGCCTGGCTTGATCCTGCTAATGCTCCTCCTTAAAATGCTCACATGGGATGACAGCAGAAAAGCAGCAGCTCTGACCAAACAAGAGACTGCAGACCAAATACACAATCAAATTTCACAACCTGCTACTTTATAGTTGTCTTTCTGCTGCAAACTTTGGCTTCATGAGAGCTAAAGGTCCTACTATTTCCAAAGCACAGATCCTTAAGCCAGCAGAGTCCCTTCCTGACACCAAGAGTGCAGTGACTTCTACTTCCAACTGTACAGTTCTAATTCTGCACAAGAAGTGATACTGGAACACTCACATCTGTAGGTTATTACCTACTACCATTGTAGTTCTGAAAGTGAAAACAGATGCAAATCAAAAAACTGGGATAAAATCAAATAGGTTTTTTTCCCCGCTTTTTTTGTCATGCAGTCTCCATTATGCAGTTATTGCACAAACACCCTCAGGATTAAAGAAATAACTCAACAGAGAAAAATTAATTTCTTAAAGGGAATTAAAAATTTTTAACAATCACAGGCAACAACTGCGCTGAAACACGGCTTTACACAGTGTAATCATAAGGAACCGCCTCAGCAATCATTACCTTCAGATATCTGAAGTTCTATGTACTGTAAGATTTAGCAGCCTATCAATAATGAGACAGGAAAAGAGGCTTCACCTTTGTCACAGCGATAACCGTGGTAACCCGGCAGGCAGTGACACGCGAACGAGCCCCAGTCACCAAGACACCTCCCGTGAATGCCACAGGAAGAGGAGCCCATGGTCTCACAGCTCTCATCCGTGAGTGTGCAGCCAGGGAAGCTATTCAGGGACTCTGCAGGAGACTGAAGGTCATACACCTTCAAGAGAAAATTGTGTGACACCAAAACATTCCTCAAGAAACACAACTTCGTTTTTAAACAAAAATAGCTGCACCACTTGGCCGCCTGCTCCTCATCTGCACTGCTGAACTTGCTACGTTCGCTTTTTGACATTCAGACTTCAACTTATTTTATCAAGAGCATCTTTTGCCTTTGAATAAACCCAACTGACTATGAAAGCCAAACCCCTTAATACTTCCTAACAAAGCAGACAGCTGGCATAAATATACCCTTATACAATTGCCATTCAGAAGTTCCCTGAAAGTGCAAAGAAGCTTGGAGAACAGCTGCATGAAGCAGGGGATAAACAAACACACAGTTCCTGACTCATTAATACATCTGCTTGTAATTGAGAAGTAAATTTTAAAGATAGTTTATTCTATTTATTCTATTCTATAATTTATTCTATTTGTGACAGAAAAATCCAGAATTTTCTTGTATTTTACAATGACGCACGTGGGCACTGAACAGATTAATGGAAGCAGAAGTTTCAGGAATAACATAAATCTCCCAAAAATTTAATAAAGAAGTTTGCTTCTCTGCTTAAGCAAATGTTACACTGCTCTTACCTGAGTATCCAGTATGAAATTGCGTAAGCAACCAGAGAAATGTTTGTGTTGCAGTTGTGGGTAGGAATAGGGCAACGATTCTTTTACACCACCCAGCTGCAGAACATGGTTCACATTCAAATACCTTTGAAAATCACATAAATAATAAAATGTACATCTACCTTCAAACATAAGCATTATATAATAAGGCAGATAAATAAATACCTACACTGCATTTCCAAATAATACAAGCTTTATAAAATCACAGCAGAATGCAACTGCTTTATCTTCTTCTTTCTCTGAAATAGTCAGTGAGTACAAGCTGGGCCTTTAAAATAAAGGGTATTTTTTTAAACATGACTGCTGGAAGTTGTACTGTGGGACACTTACAATTTGGGTATGTTTGTGTTCACATCAGAAACAGCTGTGATATTCCAGACATTATAATCTCCTTGAAGTGCTCTGTGTGTGCACAGTCATCCTATGCTGTAGAAATACGACCAAAAAGACTGTTCTATGTGTGATAAAGGTCAGAAACCCAAAAGTTGCATCCATGTGGTCTAAAAGGTATGATAAACATGTCTGAGCTCTGCAGTGTCTCCCAGCCAGCTCTCTGAGCCAAACAATTCCATACATTTTAGTCCTCACAGTTTCTTTTTCCCTGAGTTATCACCTTGGGTTTTTTCTTCATTTTTTCTTATATTTTCCCCTTTTTTTGTGTGCTCCTTTCATGACCAAGAGGGCTCCATACAGCTGCTGACAAGGCTTAATCCCACTGCTAATCAGAACACTTGCTGGACTATCTACTCCACAGCTCAAGTATCTTTGTTTGTACAAAAGTTTCCCTAAAATATAACCTGAATATTCCTCACTGTAACTTTAAGGCCCTGTACTGAAGAGCTTGTCTAAATCCTCTTTGTACCATTCTTTTATATACACTGAGACTTATCATATCTCTCCTCAGTTTTCCCTTCTTTCAGTTAACTGACCTCAATTCCTTCATTCTTGATAGGTTTTACTCTCAAGAGAAGCTGTTTACAGTCATTGCTCTTCTCTGGACCCTTCCCAGCTGGTCCATGTCCACCCTGCACCCAAACCACTCTGCAATTCTGTGACTGAATTACACTTTGAATGTAATAACTGCTTTTTTAATCAAATTTTCCAACTTTTTCAGTTTTAACTGAGGCTAAGTGTTGACCCAACAGCACATGCAATTTAAACCATCCCAGTCACTCTTGCACCCTGGCTGAACTAATTCACTGGAAAACAAACACAGGTGGGTTTTGTTTCAGTACAAGACCACAAGATGCATCAGCAGCAGCCTTGAATTAGCAGTTTGTGCAAGTGCACCAGGCTGGGAACAGCATGGATACATGTGCACTTCCTCTGGCTCTGCTATACAGGCAGGAACCTTGGATCAGCTGGAAACCCTGATGTGTTCATCTGCCTTAAGGTGTTCACTCAAGGCTGTCAGCAGGAGCCCTCAGACTTATCCCAATCAGACAGAAAGACTGGCTGAGGATACAGTTATTGCCATTACAAAGCCAACTGGCCTAAATTCCTGAAGTTTTCAAGAGCAGGCTCACAGTGACTTGATAAACAGAGAGAAATTCTGCAGGCAAAGGATGGTACACAAGAGCCCCAGCACTAATCCCACAGCGTTCTGGGGTTGTCACTTAGTACTGTAACACTACTCAGGGGGAGATTGCTTTCTTGAAATTTATTTACTGCTTTAAGGTCCAGGCTCGACCTAGAGGGTCCTAGAGAAAAGGAAAGGGTTTTAGGCTCCTGGTGATTAACAACTTGGGCTTCAGTTTGATAGGTAGAATGTTCACAGGCCTTAGAACCGTCTTCCAGGGAGTCTCTGGTAACGTACCTCGCTCTTCGAGGGACAGACCCCAACACTTCACAGTTTGTACGATCCTCAGTGGACAACCACCTGCCAACCCCTTCTATCTCCGAGACAACAGCTGCACTGCACTGGTCCAGAGTGAACCGAACATCCTGTGCCAAAACAGGGTTACTGAATTAACCATTTCTGTAAAATTCAATAAACAAGGGCTGGGTTTTTCCCCTCTGTTCTGTTTGCCATCCTGCAATAACCAGCAAAGCCAAAATGGAACCATTTAGCAAAAGAAGGAACTCAACCCTGCATTTTATTTATGCTTTTGAGCAGTTTAACCACTTACACAAGACATGTAACTGCCTTTGCAAATCAAGTAAGGGTTGTTTTTTGTGCATGGGTAATTGATTCCAGTGTCCAAATGTGTACATGGCATGTGCAAATCACAACGGAGTTTTTATGCACAGTCCACGTGTGCTGCTACAGATCTTAAAAAAGGCAAAAAGATTCTTCTGATCATAGAATATGGATTACAACATAGGCAGATTTGGAACTGGTCTTCCCAAAATTTCTATTATTCATCAAATCTACAAGGTCAGGGAGAACAATATAAATGATTATCCAGTCTGTTCTTTCTACTCTCCTGTTCCTGCATAGGGAAATGCTGTTAGACATATTAATATCCTGATATGGAATAAAAAACCCAAACAAACTGACCTGACCATTGGTTCTGACTTCCAGCCGATGCCACTTCTTGTCTGCTACATTCAGATGGCTTGGAAACTGCAGCACCACAAAACCTGAGCCCTGGCTCATCTTCAGCACAGGAATGCCACTGGAGAGTTCTAACACAACATGGGCAAGAAATTAAACTCAGCTTTAAACGAGAATCCTTCCATTTTGGGTATGTCAGCAGTTAGTGACTGTACTTATTTAATGGTTATTGCTTGTCACACAGAGTGGGTTCACTACAGAAATAACTACAGTTATATTCCAGGACTTCCACTATGCAGAAATACTCATTCAGTATATTATTCATTTTTATATTTTAGATGACACCACTTCTGTCAAAACACTGACACCAATTCCTGATAAGCAATCTGCAATTTTATGATGTTCTAAAACAACACATGCAGGTTTAACTCCCATCTTCAACTCAAACTTACAAGGAACTGCAAAGCAAGGCAAAAAAAAAAGGTAAATTATTAACAATATTACCTTTCCATTAATTAGTAAAATAAAAAGTACCAACCATATTGTGCATCTTGTATAATTAATCCACAGAAAATAAGCAGTAGTAACCTTTTAAATATATGTCAACATAAAGCACTGAATTCTACTTGTGTAGCATGTGGGGCTGGATTCATGCATTAAATCATTGCCTGTTTAAAGAAAAGTGCAAAATTGCCCCAAAACTGACAGGTTAAGTGGATTTATTTTCTCACTAAACTAGATAAGAATGACATGCAACTAAATCTGCATTAATCATGTAATACCTGTCTTCAAAGTACCTAAATTCCTTTACAAGTACTACAGTTTCTCTAGGTGGATTATTTTTTTACATATGTATCAATCTGTTTTGCTTTCCCCTACAACTCTGCTGTGGACCTAAAACCATAGGTGCAGGCTACAAAAATAGACATCAAAGGAGAAAAACCCTACTAGGAAATGTTTCAAAGTATTTTCAAACCTCATTAAATGAAAGACAGAACTCACAGATTAACTATTACACTGCTCACAGGCAACCCATTCTCAAAGACATTTAATTTTTCCACACACTTTTGCAGAAGTACCTATTGCAATGAAGTTTTCTGTACTCCCAGGTTCTGGATTTGCTAAAGGACCACTATATAGTATAAGTCCATCTGGAACCACTGTTATAAACTCTAGAGAGAGTGAGCTTTCAAAACAGGGTCTGATGGGATGAAACCATGCATATCCATTTCCATGGAAACTGTGCTTAGTCTGCTGGCACTCTGGTCCATGAAAGGAAGCAGGGCAAAGACATCTGAAAGACCAAACCCAAAAGAAATAGTAAAAATTCCCCCAAGTTCAACTTCTTTTTTTTCCATTTTATTTTACAGGCAACAAAAGTAGCATTTAAGTCATAGTAAAAAAATATCAGTGAAACAAAGATTTTTAGCAGAATCTCAGGGTTGCTTGGCAATTATTAAAATACTCTAAGACTGCAAAACATATTTATTCCCTATACTATCTCCCTCAAAAAAAAAAAAAAAAGTATTTTTGAGGCCATGTGTTTGAGAAGAATGAACTATTTCCCTAAATAAGTAACACAGAACACCAAGTATCAATTTAAAAACTCAGGGGGTTTAATTCCTAGCTAGAACAAACCAGTATAATTTCACTGAGAGAATGTGCGGCATGCTAGGTGATGCTATACTAGAACAAGTTCCCTATCTGATGTTGTCCAAGCTCCTTATTACCCACTGTTTAAACTACATTTCACCCCTACATCCACTGATATTCACCCTTATCATTACTCTTTTGGAAAACAAAAAATCCAGGACACACATTCCCTCATACTGAATGAGGTGCTTTCAAAAAGTGACATGTGTTAATCATACTAACGTGTCTTCCCCAGGGTTTTCTTTCTTACTTACACACTATTTCCACTGCTTTGGGGACTACAGCACCATCAGGGCTCATCAGAAAAGACCCTGTTTAAACCCCAGGGTGAGTGTGGGGTTTTTTTGTCTCTCCTTTGGTCAGAAGTACATTTATGACTATTTTAGACCCGTATCTTGTAAGCTCCACTCGACACGTTAAAAACAGGAGGAAAAAGACAACGCGCAAATCCAGTGTGCTGACCTGTACCCGTTCAGGGTGTCAGTGCAGATGCCCCCATTGAGACAGGGGTTCCGAGGGTAGGAGGAGCAGGGCTGGTGGAGCCGCTCCCGGGCGGAGCAGCCGCAGATTGCCTGGACGGTGGTTGTGAGGGAGACGAAGGACACGCTCCCAGTGTCCATCACGGTTGGAATGTCGTCCACCCTGAGGTGGTTTGTACAGCCCTCGCTGCAGTTTGCGCTCCTGCATTCGTCCACATCGATCTGGGAGATGTTCAGCTGCAAAGCTGACTGGATCTAAGAGGAAATACAGTTTAACTCATCATCACTCTCGTCCCAATGAAGGCTTTTACTCACTCAACTTCTGAAAACTCTAAGCCATCAGAGACTTAACGGAATGCTTTAGTTTGTTGTTTCTTAATAACACCCCTGACTATACAGACAAGCAAAATTACCCAAAAAATACAGGAAAAGTTTTGCAAAAAAATTACAGCAGCATTTCCCAAAAACTGAATTGTTGACATGACTGACTGAGAACATGTTAAATCTGTACTGGCCTACTAACACTATTTCCAGGGACCGAAGCTCTGGGAGCAGTGATACTCCACCTTCTGAGCTGGGTCATTTGTGTCACATCCCTCTGCCGCCTGATGGCAACAGGCAAATTTCAGCTCAAGCCAGGATAAATTCCTTGGGAGTAACACCCAGATACTGTGTCTCACATTCTCCCACACACAGGCACACAGACATGGGAACATGCAGGGCTGAGCTGCTTTCACTAATCATGTCCACAGACAGTGACCTGAAAAGACAACTCTACAGCACCCCTGATTCAGTCTAATCATTTGTGCCCCATAAATTTACATTTAATGTCAAACTGTCCGAAACAGAACACCGTCAGTTCAGCATCCTGGATGCTGCATTCTATGCTACATTAAGCTTTGCTAATCATCATTTTTATCACTAATTGGGGTTGCACCTGAGAGCCCAAGTGCCCAATAAAGAGCAGAGCCTCAGTGTACACAGGTCTGTAATGCAGAAATAGTGAGTGTCTCCACAGTTCCTTCCCATCTTCTAATCCAAACAGACCAAGGAAGGCCCAGCAGAGCACATGGAAGTGAAGTAGCTGTTCGTGGGGTGCCTGAGGCAGGAACAGAGCTGCTGCTATTCCTGGCTTCTTGTCCTTCAGCCTTAGCGCTGGACTAAGTTATGACAAAGTTTGTTCCCTGGCACAGATTTCTTCCTTCTACTTGCTTGGAGATTTTGCCTATTACAAAGCTTCGGAATTTGATTTGTGTTTGGTGATTCAAATACATTAAAGTGATGTGTCTGTCATGCCCAAACCTGAATGCAGGAGACCTCACTACCATGCTATACAAAAGTAAAACTAACATGAGGTCTTTATATACTTAATATAGTTTTTTTCCAAATGATAAAATGTATGGCAAATTTGTTACAAATAAGTTTTAAAAAGATCGAAACAAATATGTAAATAAAGCACTTCTATTGTTTTTTCACTAGTGCAGTCATCTCAATTCACACTGTAAGAACTCTGACCTTTACAATCAATTGTCCATATGTTCTCAAATATAGTAACATGTATTGATGATTACAGCCCCATGGGCACAAAGTTACTTTATAATGACAAGATGCATCCTGTCAATGCAGTTCTGTGTCTGCTGCCCACGTTTATAACCATTAGTGGAGGGTCTGTAATGCACATTTACATATCTCTGTAATACTATTATAGAAAAATTGTATACAAACAACCTCGGCTCCTTAAAAGTATTAGAATGGATTATTTTTCTACTAAATAAAAATAGCTGTTGTAAAAGTAGATCCCAAAGAGGTAATACAAACATATTATTTATGTAGCAATTCAACAAGTAATTCCAGTGCTAATTACTTATTTTCTGTATTTATAGTTAATATGTACAAAAACTACTAGAGAAATTCGCCAGCTGTGATTGTTTTCCTGTAAACTATTTGTGATTGCTCACTAAAGCTATTCATTAAATATTGAAAGGTGATATATAATTAATACAAACATATTTTTTCATTAAAATATGTGAAGCAATCCCCTTGTTACCACTTTGAGGAATACACATGTCATATACTATGGCAGAGAATATTTGAAATCTATGCTGTTTTCTATGTTATTGTTGCAGTAGTTCAATAAATATGCAAAAGAAGCAGTGGTTACCCTTCCTGAATACTCCCTCTCTCTGGCATTTCCTACTTGGTCACTCTGAACAGTCTCATAATCCACACAGCTATTTAAGATACAGCAAGATGTAGGCAGGTGGTAAGTTCAGACGGCCCTGTTCTGTTCCCAGAATCAGGCAAACTCCACCACATTCACACAAATGGCAAGTGCTGTTTTCCCTTTGAGAAAAATTCTCCAGAAGATGTACCATGTATTAAACCCAAATATGGCCCCAGAGCCACAAACAGCACACCAGCATTCCCTCTTATAACAGGAAAAAAAGTGGGAGGAGAGCGTCACTTTGTTTTTAAAGTCGTGCAGCTAAATGCAATCACAGAATCTGTTGTCTCCATCTCACTTATCTGTTGTAACTATTCTTCTAACTGCATATTCCTCCCAGCAGGGCTTTTTTCTATGAAGTGTCATCTTTTTGTACAGTAGAATTTCCATCTGGGTGGCATCAAGCCTCTACTCTGAGTGTCTAAACACAAGCTGATGATTTGGGGACTTCCATCAGCACCTCAAATGTCCAAAAAGCTGTCATTTCCAAGACATCATCTGTACTACAGCACCACTTCAGCTTCTAGGGATTCTTCTTATTTCATATTCAAAAGTCTTGACAGATTACACAATGAAACACTAAGTGGAGAAAACACAGACACCTGTCCCATGATGGAAATGGAGACCCATCTTCCTGCAGCTGTAAAGGGATTATATTCATTGAATCAGAAGTCAGTAAAAACATACAGCAACTGCAGATATGGGGCTAAAAAGAAGGAAGGAAGCCTGAATTACGCATTTATTTGACAAGTGCTTTTGTCCTGAGTGAAGCAATAAATACCTTATCTGTAGATCTAGAATATTTTTCTGCTGAGGTTTGGGAGATACACCCCCCAAACTCAGAGTCTGGGTGAATTCCACAGATGCACAACAAACCCAGAGAACAAACCTCATTTTTAAATGCTGCCACCTCAGCGTGCAGTTTCTCAGGTCTGTAATATGCTGAGCCACCACGGACTGCAAATCTGACATCTGTCTGTTTTCCACCCCTGTTCATCACACTGAAGACAATGACATCACTCAGCTTAGCAGGCAACATTTTTGCAAGTAACTCCTTGAACTCTCCGTGTCTCGTTTTGCTGCGTTCATCTCTCCTGATGAACTCCTCTGCTGTCATATCTGAGTTTGGGATTCAAAAACAGGTAAACATGAGATACTGGGAGATCACAGGCTGATTTCTCAATTTTTTTTTTTTGTATTTAACAATATGGAAACAGACCAGAAAGTGCCCCACAGTGATAGGTAAATCAAGTATTGATGTAACAATACCTACAGCACATATTCATTCAGTTAGAGGAGCAGCTGATCTAAACTCACCAGCAAATAAAACCAACCTGACAGACGCACAGTGGCTGAGTTTTGTATGGCTTCATTTTCCAGCTCTTTGACATGGATTTGTACTGTAGATATAACATCAGGACAAACTCCATCAGAAACTCTAACCTTTAAGTTGTATATTCCCTGAGGAGTATTATCCACCATCAGCAAAGACCCGGTCCTCTGATTTAATCTGAAAGAACTAGACAGAAACCTTCAATTAGGAAACCTTATTAAATCAAAACTGAGCACTTATTTTATCCATTAATATGTTTCAGAAGGTCTTAAATGTTACTGTGAATGTTATGGGATCAAAACCGATGAGAATTCACCAACAACCTCAGAAGAGCACCAGAAACACCTTAATTCAGAATCTACAATCTGCAGAGTTTATAAAAAGATGTTTGTGCCACTCAGACTTTCCCAAATTTGACTAAAAACAGTGTGCAGTTGAACCAGGGGTTCAGGTCACCATGAGCTCAGGTAAGAAACAGGAAGTGACAAACCACACAAATCATTCCAGATTATCACATCTCTGTCTGAAACAGGGTAAGGTCTGTATGAAATCTCTGACAGCACCTTCATTTGACACCTCTAAAGGCCAGTCATCAGCAAATATGGAAATATTCCAGTATTATGGAACAGTAACCTCTTAACAGGGAAAAAGGCCCTGGGGCAGCTGATGGACAGAAAGCCAGTCTTTAATGTTTGGCTACATAAAGCTTTTAAATTTTGAGTCACAGCATAGAGAAAAAATTCACATCCACTTTCACATCCATTCCTTCCCCTTCCAACAGCATTCAGTTCTGCCATCAGCCACCTCGCTTCATGATAGGAACAAATAATGTCTAAGTAGGAATTAAGAGTCCAATTCAACATTTCAATTAACAGAAAAAACTCCACTAATCTGAGTTATGGTTTTCACATGCAATTGTAAATTTAGACATCAAAGGAGATCACCAAATTCCTTTCCACTCTGGGTGAAATGATCCTATTCTGTACTTTTAAATTTGGGATTTGTATTCCATCAGCTCTCATATCTGAGAGCAAGCATTAAAAACTCTGCCTATTTTTAAACTGGATCTTACAGAATGCACATTTTAAAATAAATTAACAGTGACATCTGACTAAAAATCAACATCATAGTATGATCCTGCATTCTCCTGGAAAAAATATTTTATGCATTACTTTTCTTAATACTTCTTTACCCAAAGGAAAAAGAGCATTGAGAAGGTACATCCCTTAGTACACTCAATAACCCTGGCTTTATGCAATCCTGAACACAGAGAAATACACGGTAAAATAATTACAGAAGCATAAATATTACTCATTTTGACAGAAATACAATCCTCACTTGAGCAGTTTTCCTTCAGAGAGAAATGTTTTATTGTCCCAGTCATCTTGATCTGGTGCAAACACTTCCCCAAGCACTGTTGTTGACCATTTTCCTGGTGAGATAAATTAGAATAAATCTGCATTTAATTTTTGCTTTTCAGCGCATTTTATGTTCTGCCACATTCATTACTGCACTTATTATTTATTTATTATTTTTAGATTGGTGATAGTTCTGATCCAAGATTCTTAAACAATGCATAGCCTGTCATATGATTTCTGCCAGTTCTGGAAATGTGAGTATACTACAGATGTCACATGAAAGAAAAGTCGAAAACAGAACAGAATAATACATAAAATACAGCTCTCTATGAAATTCTAAGACACAAAAAAAGAATCACCACATCAGGAGTTAATCCTCAAATGTTTCACTGCTTGTCTATTATTTTAAACAGCACACAAGTGAAATATAGCAAAAAAGGGAGAGACCTTGCAGGGTGCAGCTGGGAGAGAAGGACTTGACTGAGAAAAGGTAATGGGCAAAAAGCCACCAAGCCAGGTCTTGGTCCTTTTTTCAGGCCCCTGTGGGCTGCCACAGGAGTGGGACATCCAAGCAGCTCTTCTAAAACAGCAAAAGGAGCAACGCCAGGGTTGGAGACCCCTGAATTCAACGGTCAAGATTCAGCAACATGGGAAATTTTTAAGGTTCAATTTTTAAGGACCCAACCCACCCTAGAAACCTCATTCTCTCATTTCTACAGTGTGATCTGGTCATACCTCTTTCTAATTTAGGTGTACTGAAACCAGCAAATGTTACTTATTGCAACGTACCTTCTGTAGATTCATCTTCTCTAATATTTATCAGAAATTCTACTACTGCAATGGTAGCTGAAATATAGCCAAGTCTATATAGAATGGACTAACTGGGGAAAGGTGAAATAAACTGCTTAGTAAGGGTCACCAGAACTAGTGTAATGTAAAGTTTTAGAGGTAAACTTCAGGAAAAAACACAGTAATAGAAATTAAAGACAAATGTTAGAAAGTATTATTAAACTGTTCATGCTCTCTCAGATATTTTCTGAATCATGTGTGCATACACAAAAAACTCTGTGTAGGTGAAAACTCACAAATGGAAAATAGATTTTATTAGTTTATAAAAATACTGCAACTGCAATGTTTTCAGCTAACAGTTTTTCGGTAGATAACCTTTTACACACTAGGGTCTGAGCCTAATGTAGTTTATTTATTCTACTTTATTTAGTAGTTCACAGAATTGAAGCTGCCATTTTGAGATACGCAAACCATTCAAGAGATAGATTAACAAACTGCAAGAGAAAAAATTATGTGTAAAACTCTGCTATATTCATGAACCTGATACAACACCCAGAATCTGATATAACATCCAGATAGCACTCACCTTTGTAACTGTACACATAGACCTCCTTATGGCCAGACTCATGGCAGTTGTCGTTTTCATCACCAACTGTTATAGTCAGGGTGTTTGTAGAGCTCATGGGTGGAATCCCACTATCTGTGATAACTACTGGCAGATGAAACACCTTCTGCTTCTCTCTGTCAAAGGACCTCAAAGCAGTTACAGTTGCTGTGCTATTTCCGTTGTCAGTAAGAGAAAAATCCAAAGAGTTCTGATAATCTGGTGGCAACGAAAACGTGAAGGGCGGCCCGTTCTCCTCACTGTCCGGATCAAACGCGTGAAGCAGCTTTGATGTGTGGTTCATGTAAACTATTTCAGGCTTCAGCCTATTCTCCCAAACTACAGGCATGTATGGTGCCTCAAACCGTGGCCCATTGTCATTAATATCAAGCAAGTTAATCAACACTGTAACGCTCCCGGTGCGGGCAGGTGTCCCTTGGTCTGCAGCCTGCACAATTAAACTGTATTTCTCAACGACTTCACGGTCCAGGGTATTTGCCACAACCACGTGACCATACTGGTCAACCACAAACTGCCTCATAGGATCTGAATCTGACTTTATAGAATAGACAATCTTCCCATTCAAATCAGAATCCTTGTCTGTAGCTCTCACTGTGGTCACTGTGGTACCTGCAGGCATGTTTTCAAACAAAGGGTTTGTCTGAATAAACTGAGAAAGGAAAGCTGGGCTGTGGTCATTGGAGTCTTCAACCTCAATCAGGCACACTGCAATGCTGGAAAAATCCATATCTTCCACTGTAACAGTAAGATTAAACTTTCTTTCACGCGCGTTCTCAAAATCCAATTTTTTTTTCAGTCTGATAGTGCCACATTGCCATTCTTTGTCATTCTCAATGTAAAACTTCTGATCTGGGTCTCCCCCAATGATACTGAATGTTAAGGCTGCATTTTCCCCAGTGTCTGCATCTGTAGCACACACCTGCAAAACCTCTGAGTCGATGGCTCTGTTTTCAGGAACTGTTGCCTGCCACATCTTTTTTGTGAACACAGGTACATTATCGTTGATGTCTGCAACCCAGATAGTGGCAGTGCCAGTTCCTGTTAACCCTCCCCCATCTCTTGCTTCCACAGTAAGAAAGTAATTTTCAGTCCTTTCTCTGTCTAGCATTCCCCCTGCAACGTGGATTGTACCAGTATTGGGATTGATATTAAACATGTCAGTACCAAACTCATTTTTCACATTCTCTGTTATCCTGTAAGTCAGGACAGCATTAAGACCTACATTTGGATCATCACGATCAACTGCACCCATTTCCATGACTAAAGTGTCCACAGGAGAATTCTCAAACACATTCCCATTGCAGTCATCGGGCATGCACATGAACATGGGTGCATTGTCATTTATATCCCACACGTTGATAATCACATCTGCAAACCCTGTGAGTCCTCCTCCACCTTCATCAGTAGCCAACACAATAAACCTCCACAGCGCTCTCTCCTCCCTGTCCAGTGTCTTGTGTGAGTAAATGCTGCCTGTTTTCTCATCTATTGTGAAAATATCAGCTGCACCATACCCATGCAATGAGTATCTCAAATCTCCTTCATCCACATCACTGTCAGGATCACTGGCCATGACCTACAAAAGTTTTGAAAAGAAGACATGGAAAGTATGAAATATGCCATGATTGCATCACATCCTGTATGTTGCTACAGCATATAGGAGCCCAAGCAAAAGCATGACAGGGTATTAATATGTGCATGCCAGGGAATAGCAAATTAGGGACAATTCAGTGTGACAATCATGCTTTGCACCACAACAACAATATAGATATTCTAGTACCAAAAAAATATTATATTTTTCATATGCATAGAGATAATTTAAACATGCTACTCTGATAGTTACTTTAAAATGCTAACTATTTGCTTTTCAGGATCACAGATGATCCATCTTGTTTCTCCTGCTATCTTTGTAATTGTTTTTTCTTAAAAGTCCATTTCTCCTCTTCCAGTGACAAAAAAACCTCAGTAAAACTAAACATCATTAATATATATGTGCTAGATTATTGTCCCATAACTGTCCCACAGTAATCTGTGCTCTTTCATTGAAATATCATAGTCTCTGAAACCAAATACACTACCTGAAGTACAAAGACTGGTAACGCATCCATTTCCTCAATTATACTTCCATAGTATTCATTGATAGAGAAAACTGGAGCCTCATCATTTTTATTCATGACACTGATGATGATAACTGCATAATCTTCCCACTTCCCATCAGAGGCCAACAAGTGAATCTCATACATTTTTGTTTCTTCATAGTCCAGTGGTTGGGCAATAAAAATGGCTCCTGTTTCTGGATCAACATCAAGGACTCCTCCCGTGTTTCCAGCCGTGATCTGATACCGTAATTTAGCATTTGTTCCTGTCAATTACCAACAGGGTCAGAAAACACACATTTCTGGAAGCAGACTGAAGCACGGCATGTTGAGATGAAGTACAAACCATACAACAGTTGGATTTGTGTTATTATGGTTTTGTGGTCTCTTAAAACACACAGCTATTTCAGATTAACCCTAGTATGTCCAACTGTAGTGTGTCTCTAATTATAAAATGTGTCTTTGCCATGAGGTAATAATTTTGCTTTTACTTTATTAAGAGGACAGAAATAAAGTGCAATATATCCATCACATCAGGTCCCCTGTCCAACACTATAGAGTAGATTTACAGACAGCCTAAGTAACAAACCAGAAGTTTGTTGAGTAGGTAAATCCTCTTTCAGTACATCTTTGCCACATTTGCCTCAGCCTCCTACACAGTCAGGATTTACTTCTACTTCACAAACACACTGACAGAACAGTCCTTTGGGACTTGTGCATGAAAAAAACACAGGCCTTCACCAAACAGGGAAGTCTAATGAGGAATGCACCACAGCCAAAAGATGCAAGTCTGTACTGTTCCCTCTCTCATTTATGAGCACTGGTTGTGTACTTACTTTTACATGACCTGTGCCTGAATTTCTGACTGATTTGTGGATATAACAATATAGCTAAGACTCATCACATGCATTTGGGAAGTCCACATTCAAATAAGAGATTGTTTAGAAGAAAAAGTAAAAGAACAACTACACTGCCCATAGAGAAAACAAATGAATCTCACTAAAATCCAGTCTGATTTATTTAGTTAATCAGGACATTTATATTGGAACCCATTTGTAAGAAAATGATATGATCTATAATGAATCTGTCTTTCCTGACACAGAAATTATTCCATATCATCCCACATTAATGCATGTCTCCTGAAATAAGAGATTACACCTCGCAGCTCCATTATGAACTGATATTCATGCCTGATCAGTTCACACTTAAAAGAAGTTTTAAAATCTGGAGACAAAAAGACATTTCCCTTCCTAACACCACTAAATATGTCTCGGTGTGCTGAAATTAACTCATGAATATTTCAGGCACAGCTGTGGGGAATTCCAATACTTTACCTTCATCTTCATCGTTAGCACTGACTGTGACAATAGTGGAGCCCACATCCTGGTCTTCATCCACATTTACCTCATAGACACTCTGAGCAAAGACAGGCTCGTTGTCATTCACATCACTGATGGAAACACGCACATAGGCCGTGTCTAGAGAGACGAGGAACGAGAGATTAAAACCCTCAGCTGTGCCACTTCTGTCAGCTACAATTCCTTAACCTGTCTCGCTGCACGTTAAATGAAGACAAATATGCAGACAATACAGAAACAAACCCTTAGGGTTGTGGACCATATATATACCAACATTACTCAAAAGCACTTGGATATCAAATGAATGTCACATCCAATTTGTTTAAACAGATAATACATGAATAATTGATGCCTAATACGGCCCTTGTACAGTTTTTAGTCATAACTTTTTGTCTGGAAGCCACAAAATTTTAAGTCGTTATTTAAGCAGGGAGATCAATCAAGAAAGGGATTCTCTATCTTGAATATTCCTACTTCATAATTACTTTTGACTGAATACAGTAGCATATGCAGTGCTTTGAGAAACACTTCCACTGCCCAAAGATCTGCATTGTACAGGTAACAGGTGCATCTTTACTAGCCAGGAAATTCTCTCTAAACTCTAACCATGAAGCTCTAGTTTTCTCTTAATTTCAGAACAAAAAACTTCCTTGATGATTCTGTAAAATTTATCCTCAAGCTGTGACACAACTGTTGCACAAACAATAAAAAATCCATCCCAGAAACCAAACCAACTGACACTCTTTCACATGCAGATTTGAAAAGAACAAAAGTAACACCTAATCTTGCGTTTCAGAGACCGATCCAGGTAACATCATGCTTGTTGCAGATACGTCTCTTACCAGAGTTTGGCTTCCCATGTTTTCCAGGTCGGGCTGACTCAGAGCCATCCACTGACTTGACTTCCAGAAGGTAGGAGCCCTTCTTCTCTCTGTCAAACACCGAGGCCGTGTATATTGAGCCTGTCTGGGAGTCCAAGCGGAAATGGGCGTAGTCTCTGCCACTGTCATGTAACAGGGAGTAAGTTATCTAAAGGATTAAACAGAAGTTGTTAATCTATACTTTCCTTTTGTTGGAAAGTTCACAGCTAAATAGGTACTTAGGGAGAGGAAGAACAGTCTTGTGCCTGAGAACTCGGCAAGGGCCAAGAAAGTCTGGTTCCAGTCTCTATTATACATATGTTTCTGTGATTGACCTCAGCTTGCACTCTTGTTTTAAAGATATACCTACTTTCAATTTTTTAAATCAGCAAGGAATAACTCCATTTTGGATGTTAACTTGCCATATTTTGTAAGGATTCAGTTTGCAATACCTCCAGTGATTTACAACTCATAGAAGTTTTTAACATGGTTTTTCTTCCATTAATTTATCCAAATTCATTTTAGGTCTAAGAAGACCTTTCCAAAACACTACTCTACAGCAAATATTTCACCTAAACTCCAGGCTGTATAAATATTTCCTATTTGTTTTCTGTCTCACACCTACCAGTTTTAGTCTCATTTTTCACATGACAACACAGAGCAGCTTGTAATAAACTACTTTATTTCATTCTACATTTCCCTATTAGTCCTCCCTTTTCTAGGCTGAAGACTCCCAGACTATTTAGCCATTGCTCACACAGAAGTTATTCCCCACCCCTCATCAGAGCAGATGTAGGTCCCCCTCCTCACCTCCCCATTCTGACCAAGGTCGAGGTCAGTGGCAGACACCTGAATGACAAACGTCCCAACATCAGCTCCCTCTGTCACTGAGGCTTCATAGATGGATGAAGTGAAGAATGGGACATTGTCATTGACATCTGAAACATCAAAAGAGCACAGAGAGAGAAAACCATAAAGCTTTAAAGAAAAAAGGTGCACAGTTCTGCTGTAACATCCCTGGACAGCCGACACACCTGTGACATTAATGTAGACCGTGGCAAACGCTGCCAGAGGAACTGCAGCAACGTTCTGTGCTCGAACCCTCAGCAGAAAGCTCTTTGTTGTTTCGTAGTCCAGGGGCTCAGCCACCAGGATTGAAGCAGAACCATCGTGTCTGTTTGGAGTCAGGTAGAAGCGAACCGGCATGTTGGTCTCCGGAACAAGTCCCTCTTCCAGGTTGTAAGTCACACGGGGATCACCAAGGGGAGAAGTTGCTTTGATTGTCTGCACAGTTCAAAAAGTGTTTAATCAACACTTCTGCAAGTACAGCAACATTTCCCAAAGCTTTTGTGTTTTGACTCCCCCAGACACTCAGCTACAAAACACAAAACTTATAAAAGCTCAGTACGTCTAAGCAAACAAAAAACATTCAGTTACTGTATAGCCTTAAGAGCTTACACAGAGACAAACAAATCTGTCCAGTCTTACCAAAACTGAGGCATCTCGTGTAATATTCTCTGGAATAACAACTTCATAGCTGTCTCTTTCCCACTGTGGAGGCTGGTTTTTTGCACTGGTAACAGTTACAGCAAGTTCAACTTTAGTGCTCCTATTACCTCCATCTGTAGCAATAACCTCTCGAATTATAGATGATCTCTGAAGAGTATAAAAAGGTTTCATTACAGAAGGTTTTGAACAGGGCTCCAAAATAAATTGATGCATAAAATAAAAGGCACACTTAAACCTACACAGAAGAAAAATATTTGCAATTGAACTTAAAATATTAAACAGGTGCAAAGTTGATGAAAATTCTGCTATTTGCTTTACTGAAGATTGTTGGAAAATTTTGATATGTGTCTCAACAAACCTTAGCACATTCCCCACAAAATCTAAACAGAGTCAAAATAGCCCACTTTGTGAAGCCCCTGAGTTCTTAAGCTTACCTACAAAAAGTTTTCATTAGGTCGACAGAGTTCTTAGATTCACTAAAGAAAACATACTAAAAGGACACATCTTCACCAAATGGTGTGTCAGTAACTTAGAAGTTAAATTTCAGTATTAAAAATATCTGTTAGGTATTTAAAAACTGGCATCTACAATAACGTTTTCATTTCAACATAAATTACTTCAGAACTCTGGAAACCTTGAACTGTTTGTGCAGACGTGTAGAAATGGCCAAACTGATCAATCTTTCATGCAACAATTTTATTCATTATGCTTTCATCTTCCTGAGGGATAGTTACACTTAGTCCACCATAACTAACATAAATCAAGTAGGGAATCTGTATCAGGAGCACTCAGGTCTGTGTCTGAAATCATTGCCTGTTAACACAGGGAAATCCTACACTTGGTTCCTGCTCCCCTGCTTATGATCTCAGCCCTCCAGCCCTCGGAATTAGCATGCCAAAGCCAGGGAAATGGGAATAGCAGATTCTCAGAGGCAGTACTGCTTTCCAGCTGAAAGCAAGGTTTGCTTATATGCAGCTTACAGTCAATGGACTCATGAGCTAAAAGCCTTAGACTCACGTTTAATTTAAACACCGTGTATTGATCCTGTAACATGACGGGGTAACACAAACTCACAGCCTCAGTCTCTCCTGGGATATACTGAGATAATCAGCTTGGAAAGGAAAGCAAGCACCATACCTGAGATATGGGTTGGTTCACAAACACCCAGCCTGTAGCAGGATTAATCTGAAAGTAATTTGGTTCTTCGTTGGCTATGGAATATGTGATGGCAGCATTTGAGCTGTAGTCATCATCCCGGGCCGCAACACGCAGGAAGCTGGTCCCAACTCTCGTGTCCTCTCTTAAGAAATCTAATGTAAGGAAAGGAGATTTCAAACACATCGTTCATTCACTGCAGTACCATGGACATCTTGGCAAGTCATGCAGAAATATTAAAGTAATAATGTATGGAAGCTGTAACTTGATCTTCCTTGGAACAATGGCCATACACATTGCACGGAGTATTTTAAAGGGCTGCTATCACTCCAGAGCTGTGGATCACATTTGAACTTCATGTTATCACACTGATAAACTAGAATTCTTATTGTTTACAATTATTTGAATTGTATTTTAATAAAGGACTAATTGCTCTGTATTATACTTAAATTGAATTTTAATTTATTGCATAAAACCAGAAGAAAAGGACCACATTGCCAGAAACTACTTTCTAGGATTTGCGTTGCATAACTAATGGAGAATTGTCAGTCTTCATTTTTTTTTCTTAATATTATACATGTCTCGGATTGCTTCCATAAACAGGAAGGGTTTTTCTGAAGAACCAACAACGAAAGGTAAAACAACAGACAACGAAGAATTACAAAATTCAAATGGGAAAAGGAAAACTATGCAATCAAAAGCTATGACAGAAATCTATTAATCTGAAAACAAAGGACACAGTTAATGCTCAGCACTGCACATCCACACTGTTATTACAACTCCTCCATCCCTGTGAGTACCAGGCACTAACATGGCTATTGCTTCAAGGAATTCTCCCATAAGGAAGGTCTATGAACCAAGACTGTACTTGTTACATCACCTGACACAGAGTACCAGTTCTGCAACTAGTAAGAGCATCTCTGGCTGCAATCAGCTAGTTTGTCACATATTCTACTGCCAGGAAGAAAACAAAAACCCCAAAATTGGAGACATCAGGCAAGCTCACACTCAGGGCACCGAAACTCTATCCAATGACTCTCAATTACATTCATAGTGGGTGTTTTCAAATCTGGGGTCATTGTCATTTTGGTCCAGGATGACAACATTGATCTGACATATTCCAATGAGTGGTTCCGCTGCCTGATCTGTTGCTGTCACAGTGATGGGATATTCCCTCTGCTTTTCTCGATCAAATACCTGAACAGTTGTCAGAACTCCTGAAAACAAAGTAAATACCAGACAGTTAAAATATCAGGCATTTGACAATATTCTACACGTAGATGTTTCCTGGGCTGTCAATACACTGAGATACAAAGCAATAGTTCAAATACACCTTGAACACGAACTTCAGGTCCAAGCATCCAATGACAAGATTTAACAACTGCAGCAGCTGACATTGCACTGCTCAGACAGACACAAACTTCAGTTACATCTACACACAACTGGACTTAAATTTAGAAAATGGAGATAAGTACCAAACTAACTTTAGGAGAATGAGTTTATTAAAGAAATATTCCTTTTGAAGAGCAGTAAGTACAGTGTAGAGGAACATTTCACGCCTTCTCTCCTCCAGAAGTTCAGCCTCAACTTATTTTCAACCTTCCAAGACTAAATTCCTTTGCTGTTTGTAAGACTACTGTCACTTGGATAAATCATTTATATACCACTAGCAATGTTGCAAGATAATGTTTGGGGTTTTTTTTAAATCCAGTTACAAAAACACACAAGTTACTTCACACAGCAGAATTTCTATATTTCAGGAAAAACATCAGTTTTAGTTCAGTACTGGACATGTATGAAACTATTCCATGGAATACTTGTTCATGCAGTTAATATAGCTTATATTTTGTCTGCTGTCAAAAAAACTAAATAAAAAGCAAGAAGTCTGATTTTATTTAAGCCTTTCTTCCATCAGTGTTACAAAGTGGTTTCTAAATGTTCTGACGTTTTACCTGTGTCAGGATGAATAGTAAATGCTGGTAGGACACCATCTCTGTGCATCAAGCCATATTTCACTATACCATTGGCTCCTTCATCAGCATCAGTGGCTTCAACCTGCAGTACAACTGTCCCTGAAGGCTGGTTTTCCAAGACAGAAGCATGTTCCCGATAATACTGGCACTAAGAGAGTGGAGAAGATAAAAAACCAACAGAAAAATCAAGGACTTACCATGCCATCACTGTAAAAAAGATACACCAGAGGAGGAAAAAAAAGGAAAATCAATTCGGCAACACTTCATTCCCATGCACTGCTGGTGTTTTATCTGTATCATCACTAATTTACAGACTTCACCTGCTATTCTGTGGTTATATGAACCACACAGAACATGAGGCCACTGAGCATCCCCAACAAACAAAAATATTTGGAGAAAAAGCTGTAGTTACTTCCAAATGCAAATATTTTTCTAAATTAGCAAAAGTCTAATAAAAAAAGAGGGCATACACTTGCCCAAACTGCAGAACTGCTTTGGTCAAAAAGAGATTTTACACAAAGTAACTTGGTCAAGGAGAGGTTACTGAGAATTTCCAAGACTGACATGAATAGTTGCTGACTTTTCAAAATATGCAACATTGTCCAGCAACATTTGAATCATCAGCATCAGACTTGAAATTTTTAGACAACAGATCTTTAATATGAATTAGCATTCTGAAAACAAATTACAGTATTTATTTTTTAAAGTAGTTTAATATTTAAGCTAAAACACTCATTCTTCTCTCTTTCATTGGTTCCAGCCCACGAGAGGAAGCCTATGCAATTTAGAGAGGTATTTTGGAATATTCTGGAACAGCTCCACTGCATAGACAGCCATCCCTATTGATTCCTGCTCTTATGTCATATGAAAACTCCAAAAGTGTGTCCCAGCCTCATGTTGTGGAACGCCAGAGATGAGGTGTGGTTCAGGGAGCACAGGGCTGTCCTACCACAAGAGAAGGACAAATCCTGCTATTCTGAGGGAGGGATGGAAAAGATGGAGAAGACAGAGGCATCAGGACTCTAAAGGAGAGAGGGAAGCAGAGCAACCCCCACCCCCGAGCAGCTCCCCTGCTGCACATTTGCAGTGACAACACAGTGCTAAATAAACAATTACACACAGTACAACACAAACCACGAGCCTCAAATATTTACCTTCTGAAAGACAGGTTTGTTATTGTTGACATCATCAATTTTCACAACAACCTGGGCAGTACTTGTAAGAGGCTGGGGTCCTCCAGAGGCATTATCATCAGCAGCTGTGACATTAAGTACATACTCTGTTCCCTGCAGCTTAGGAAACGGGCTTGAACGAAGTCTAACCAGCCCTGTAAAAACAACAGGTTGGGGTTTTTTTTTCTACATCAACCAATTACCATTATTATTCTTGCTAGTAGGAGTGATAACAAACCCCTGTGGTTTGCCTATTCACCAATAACCCATAAGGCTGCTGCAGTTTAATTTAACTATGGTGTTTTTACTGCAGTGTGATATTAAAACAAAATTAAGACACCACAACAGGTTTGTCTGCAGGTATGGTTACAGAGCTAAACGAGACAACAGCTACACCTCAGCTGACCCACACAGAACAGCTTTTATTTACCTGCTACAGAAAAAAAGTAAAATAAAACAAAAAAAAAAGACACAGAAGCATTGTGGTAGACTGGTGTTTTACCTGCACCTGCCCCACCAGCGAGCCTGGCTCTGCTCCTGTATCATTACTGCAATGACACACGTGTCACACGTCTACTGCTGCAGCTGCCATCGACAGCTCAGCTGAAACTACTTCAAGTTTGCCTTCCTGCAGCACAATCACAGCAGCACTTACTTGTAGAGGCACAGCCTCAGAAACCCTTAATTTGCTACCCTGATAATTCCCCCAAATGCTACACCCTGCTGGGTGGGACATAAAGGCACTGTCAGGGAGAGATGTGCTACAAAAACAGAGACCATGCAGTGAGGAGCTGTCATGCTTTTGCTCCATCATCCATCCATCACTTCTGTTATTCGTCAGGAATAATAGTAATTGTCATTACAACAGAGGATTGTCACAGCATCAATGTCACTCAGTTTGCTTGCAGATGTATTGTTTTAGCTGCAGTGCTTATCTTTGACACATCTCCACTTTACCTCCACATTTCTGCCAAGGGGGTACATATTCCCCTGATATCATCCCTGAAAAGGAACTGCTGCAAATCACTGCATAAACCTTTAATGGTTTATTCAGCAACTAAAACCCAAAAGTGTTTTGGAAAAAAATGCTCATGTTCCTAAAATAAAGTTTCAAAGACTATAAAATTAATTGGTAAAAAGGTATAAACGTACCTATATGCGATTATCTCTATTAAAACTATGGAGCTAATCCCAAGAGATGCTATCAATCAAATGTTAAAATGCTTGGAGCACTTTAAAAAAGGGTTTTCAGAAGTGTCAGACATCTTAATACTGTGGCAATTAGACACTTTCAAAACCATTGTTCTTCTTCAGGTGACAAAGCATCTTTAGAAATTTAACTCTTGGAACCTGAAACTCTCTTTGTAAGTCAGAAAGGAGCTCACAATAAATTCAGGATTACACTTCAACACTTCCAAGTTACCTGCACACCATAATTTTGGAACATTTCAGAATCTACACATTAATATTGCAAAACCATGATTGCACTGAAATTAAAATTTCATGGTAAGTGAACTCCATGAAATAAAGAGAAGGAATAACTTAGGGCAGCTTATGCCTTCCTATATATTCAATGCTTACGCTGTGAAAACTCTAAGTTCAAAATACAAAGTAGTTTAACTGAAGTTAATTAAGTTAATTCAATCCTTCAATGGGATTTCAGTTTGTTTGCCTGTTTCAATATCAAAACATCCTCTTTTGTTTTTTTCAGGCAATCAACAGCAAATAAATCCTATTAATTTAAAGGTATATGCCAACCTACTTGTATGTTGGGTGTGCATTTTTTAATTTATTTTTTTCTAATGAGGACACCAATGTGGTGGTTTCTTTTTTTCCTATTCATGTTTTAAAAACATGTGACTGCTGAAAAGAACTTTAAAAGATGTAAAATTGGTATTTCAGAACAAATGCCTTAAACTGAAAAGTATTCTCCACACATTTTTTTTTTCACATGCATGAAGTGTTCTTGGCTAAATAACACTGGTCATGGGAATGATTTTGTCTTTAAATTAAAAATACACTTTTTTAGTTCACATTTTATATACTTTTGCCTTCACTGAAATAAAACAGTGGTAGTGTCATTCCACCTACAAATGCATTGTTTTGTGTCAGTACAACACAAGTAAACTTAGCTAAGAAGTGTTTGCTCACACATGTAATCAGGGCAGACATAAGCACAGTGAGGGGAAGCCTCATCTAAAAACCAAAATGTCCAGTTTCCAATATTAAAAGTTGTTCAGATCCTTGTCTGACGTTTTGGGATACCACACTGTTATCAATAATAACACACTCCATAAAGTTACTGTCTATTAAGCTCCCTGTTACCTATAACAATGCTCTATTAAGTTAAAAGACTGAAAGCAAACACTGCATAAGTAAAGAAGGTCAATTATACAGAACTTTTAGGAAATTATACCATTTTTTAACATTAAACAAGAGTTTATGCATCCTTCCCCTGCACTTTTAAAAATTAAGCTTCAAAGACAGCACATGCTATTCAGTTTTATAATAGCTACCTAATTAAGACCAAATTACCCAAGGGAATGGCTGGAGCTGTGTCAGGGCAGGCTCAGGGTGGATCTCACAAGAAGGTTCTTCCCCCAGAGGGTGGTTGGCACTGAACAGGCTCCCCAGGGCAGTGGGCACAGCCCCAAGGCTGCCAGAGGTGCAGGAGGGTTTGGTCAATGCTCTCAGGGACAGGGTGGGATTGTTGGGGTGTCTGTGCAGGGCCAGGAGTTGGACTGGATGACCCTTGTGGGTCCCTCCCAACTCAAGAATATTCTATGGTTCTGTGATTCTGTGAAATTCAAGGTGCATCACAACAGAATCAACATTACTGCAGCAGCAAAGAGCTAATATATCATTACCTTTCT